TAGCTGTTCCAATAGTAGAATACAGTTTTTTGGAATCATAGATTGGAGTCAGAAGGAAATTGGCAGACCTAGATCGTAAAAACAAGGAAGATGCTTACTATTCATGGACAGCTGCATCCTAGAGCTGAGGTAGACAAAGCTATATGTGAGTCGTAAAAGAAAGGAGGTAGAGGACATCAGGCAATTAGAGATGACTTATGATAATACAGTTGTATCCATAGCAATTATTTAAGAAGCCGTAGAAATGATAAGTTAGTTAGACAAATTTGGAGATGTGAAAGGCACCCTCGAGTTGGAAAGTCAGTAGTCAAGTCAGCGATAAAAATTGTAGACACATTTACCGGAAATAGAAAATCAAGCGGTCGAAGGGATGAAGAAGAATTACTGTCTACAGATATTAAGGCCATGACAAGGAAGACCTTGAAGGATAAATGGATACGAAAGCAGCTTCATGGTCAATACGTGAAGAGAATTAAGAGGCCAGGGATTAATGAATGCAAACGTTTGCGTGGCTCACGAGAGGGAAGGTAAAAGGTGAAACAGAGATGTTTCAGTCCCAACGATGAAAAACGTTGTAAACAAAGAAGCTGAAAGAAATTGAAATACAAAGATCTCTCAATTGAAATCCAAAGAATGTGGAATCTGAGGACGAAGATAGTTCCCGTAATTTTAGGTGCATTAGGGACGATCCCAGACAATCTACATGAAAACCTAAATCTCATACCAGGAAGGCACAGGACAGCAGACGTGCAGGAGATTGCTTTGTATGGTACAGCAACCATATTACGTAAGACACTATAAGGTAATGGACTTCGTTAGGATGTGGGTAACATCTTCGAAGTACCATAATGAAAATGACCAACCAAAACCGACCACATGGACAGAACCAGTTGAATAGATGGGGCTGTGGAAAATAACAAATAATAATAAGAATAATAATAATAATAATAATAATAATAATAATTATAATTATAATAACAGTAATACTAATTATATATAATAATAATAAGAATAATAATAAAAATTATAATAATATAATAATAACAATAATAATTATAATAATAATATATTTTATAATAATAATATTAATAATAATAATAATAATAATAATGATAATAATAATTATTATATTATATAATACTAATAATTATTTAATAATATAGTAAATATAATAATAAATTATATAATAATGATAATGATAATAATAATAATAATAATAATAATGATAATAATCATAATTATTATTAAAATAACAAATAATAATTATAATAAATAAGAAGAATAATTATAATCATAATAATCATTATTATAATATAATAATAGTAATTATATAATAATAATAGTTGTAATTAATAATAGTAATTATCATATAATACTAATATAATAATATAATAATAATAATGATAATAATTATCATAATAATAATAATAATTATAATACATAATATAATAATAATAATAGTAATTATTATAATAATAACTAATAATAACAATAATAATAATTATAATAATATAATAGTAATTATAATAATACTACTGAGAATAGTAATAATCATACTAATATAATAATAATAATAACTATAATTTATAATAATACTAATAATAATAATAATAATAATAATAATAACTAATAATAATAATCATTTATTATTATACTAATAATAGTAATTATAATAATGATAAGAGGTCTAGATCATACAGCAGCAAAGCAGACAGTAAGTGACACCTACATTACAAGAATCGGGCGGTACTGAAGACTAAGATGTCTGCCAGGAACATGGCAAAAGCAGTTAACACCTATGCCACATCTGCAGTTTCTTATAGCTTTGGGAGTGATTCACTGGACAGCAACAGAACTCAAAAACCTCATATCAAAACCAGAAAAGGGTTCAGCAAATTTCGAGCACATCATCCACGTTCATCATTGGAAAGGTTCCATTTGCCTAGAAAGTTGGGTTGAAGAGGTATACCTGATCTAGTTATTAACCACAACAGGCAAGTAACAAACCTTAGGAACTACTTCCACGCCAGGGCTGCGTCCAGTGAGATTCACCACGCTATCATAAGGGCGGACAATAAGGCTACTCCTTTAAGACTGGCAGACCAAAACTTCAGCCTTAGCGTGGACCAGCTCATACCCGAGCAACAACTGCAACAATGGAAGAGTAAGGCACTTCATGGTAAATACCGCACCCTACTCGAGAGCGATAAGATCGATTCCTTCGCATCCACGGCCTACCTCCGCTCTGGAAACCTGTTTGCTGAGACAGAAGGGTTCATATCTGCTATCCAAGATCAGGTCATCGCAACTAAAGTATATAAAAGGAACATAATGCGGGAACGACAAGACAATACCAGATGTCGTGTGTGCGGTGAAAAGGATGAATACCTGGACCACATCATCGCTGGCTGCTCAATGTTGGCACCGAAATCCTACCTAGACAGGCACAACAGAGTCGGAAAGATAATCCACCAAAGCCTTCGTGAAAATTACATGGGATTGACAGAAATAGTGCCGTACTATTTATACGAGCCGCCTGCTGTAGTGCGAAGATGAACAAACCCGGCTCTACTGGAATCGAAAAATTATAACTGATAGACCGATAAGTAATAATATACCGGATATCGTGCTCACTCCAAAAATGAAAACAAAACATACATAGTAGATTTCGCTGTGCCATTGGGAGCCAACCTAGAAAAGACACATGGAGAAAAAATCAATAAATACCTACCACTGAGCGATGAAATCCGCCAAATGTGGGACATGGAAACAGTAGTCATCATCCCCATTGTGATCGGAGCAACTGGAGAAATACCTAAAAAAATAAAAACATCACTGCAAACAACTAGGATTACCGTTTGAATTATACTTACCCATGCAAAAGTCGGTCGTATTGGACACATGCAGTGTAGTCCGTAGAGTTTTAGGCGGCAACTAGAACAAGATGTTTTTAACATCAGCATCGAACGGGCCATCTTGTTTCAAAACCGATGTGCCAAGCGTTCTTAACCCAGGGAAACCTGTGAATCAGTTAGATGATTAATGAATAATTGTAATTATAATAATAATATTATAATAATAATACTAATCATAATAATAATAATAATAATAATAATAATAATTATTATATAACAATGATAATAATTATAAATAATAATAATGATATAATAATAATAATAAGAATACATAATATAATAATAATAATAATAATAATATAATATAATATTCTCATAATAATACCATACATACCATACATACGTATTTATTGGACCAACCTATACATAGAGATATATGTTGAAGTCACAAAACGTAGATAAGATTTATATATAGATATATGTATAATAATAATAATAATAATTATTATAACAAATAATAATAAGTAATTATATAATAATACTATTATAATAGTAATATAATATAATAATTATTATTATTAACCCGCAGGGGGTATCTACTTTAAAGCTGGGTTTCTAACCCGGTTTTAAGGGAAGATATATATGGGGAGCATCGCCCCCACGGCCCCAGGCAGGGAGTTCGGGGTTTGGTATTTTATTTTATATTGTGCTAAACCCTGGGCTGTCCTTTCCTTTTCCTTCGTTTTTTCTCGTTTTCCCGTTTTCCCGTTTTTCTTTTTTATCCAATCCTATCCTACCGGAGGTGTTATCGGCTTAGAATTCTTCCTCCACTCCTCAAAGAAAATAGGCCAAAACCAAAGATGTCAGGTCAAAACAAGAAAATGGTACCCCAGGCGGGTAGAGCAGTATGCTCACAATCCCGTGCTGCTCCGGCAGTCAGCTCCCTGGATTCTGGGGGGAGCACTTGACGTCAGTCGCACCAGGAAAGAAAAAGAGTGATGTAGAGACCGCGTTTGCTAAGAGCTCTTTACTGAGGCGAACACCACCATCTTCGCCAAAAGTGCCCGTATTGACACAAACATTGGAAGTATCAGACATTAGTGAATTGTCCAATGGAAAAGAAGAAGCTAATTGTATTAGCACAGAAGATGCTACTAGGTCTTCATACGAAGGCACTAGTTCAGGAGAACATATATTCATGAGTGCGCCCTCATGGGCGGAAAACTGGAAGTCATTCCTGCTGATGATGGAGAAACAGAACCTTTTGCTGGAATCCTTACAAGAGGCATTGTCGGGTGTTCGAGGACGGATGTTGAAGAATAACCCACAAGACGTCAAGATAGGAGTAGAGAAGGCTTTTCATTTGGTTAATAACTTAACTTCACTGACCAAGGACCTTAAGGGAAGGGGTGAGAGTTTCCAGAAGGAACTGGCAATCTCCCCTCGTGAAAGTTTAAGGTACCGCCCTAGAGCAGCATCCACTGGCACTGCGATAGTTCGGCCCAGAGGCGAAAAAAGGGAGGCATCTAGAACACCTGACGAAAAGAGGGATCCAAAGAAAGGCAAACTGACACGCTCAGTCAACCAGCGTCAAAGGAGTCTCCGGGGCAAAGTCAGGACCACCACTAGCAAGGTAACAACGAAGAAGGCTTCCAAGTGGTTACCAATCGAAAGAAAGAAAAAAGGAAAGTACAGAAAGAGAAAATAAAGGAGAAAGCCGCAAGCAAAGAGCATAAAGCGGACAAGGAGGGCAGAGCGGCGCCTTCAAAGAGAACACGTAAGCGCAGAACGTCAGAAGCAATCAAAGTCACTGCGAAAGAAGGAGAGTCTTTTGCAGACATCCTGAAGACTATGAAGGCTAAAGTAAATCCAGCCGAAACTGAGACAGAGATCTTGTCCATTAGAAGAACAAGGGACAATGATATGCTGTTTGTCCTTAAAAAAGGCGGAAAGGCTTCTGAGTTTGCCCACGCTCTGGCAGAGGCGGTAAAGGAAAAGGCCGAAGTCAAAAGTCTAACCTCGTTCAAGACCTTAGAGCTAAGAGACTTGGATGAAACCGTTACGGTAGAGGAAGTTATCAACGCACTCCACCAGAAACTTGACAAGGACGCAGTGGACATGAATTGTCGCCTATTTTCTCGACGTGACGGCCTGAAGGTAGCACTTGTCAAGACTTCGGAATTAGACGCAGAACACTTGCTGAAGGCGGGACGGGTTCGTATTGGCTGGGTGAACTGCAGGATACGAGAACATGTAGAAGTGACGAGATGTCATAGATGCTTGGGATTCGGACATATTGCAAAAGGTTGTGAAAAGCCCGAGAGACGCACCGCTAGTTGGAAATGTGGAGCCACAGGACACTTCGCCAAAGCATGTCAAGAGGCCCCGAAATGTGTTACCTGCCTGGATATGGGTAAAACCGATTTCCAGCACGCCGCCGCAAGTAGTTCTTGTCCGATTTATCGAACAGAATTGATGAGGTTAAAGACCAAGAACTGAGATTCCTGCAAATAAATCTTGGGAGAGGAAGAGATGCACAGCACCTCCTGATGCAGGTAGCCAGAGAAAGAAATGTCGACGTATTGGTTTTCTGTGAGCAATATAGGACGACAGATACTTCAACCTGGTACCAAGATGCAACGGGGAGAGCTGGTATACAAGTTTGCAATCCAAACGTTGAGGTCAAGGAATTCTTGGAGACAGACCAGGGCTTTCTATGGGTAGAGATCGCGGGGATCCGTGTTTATAGTTGCTACTTTTCTCCAAATGATTCTTTTTCAGAATTCAACTCGGAGATTTGTGCTCTGGAAGAGAGCTTGAATGATTCTAGGAGTCCTGTCCTGATAGCAGGCGACTTCAACAGTAAATCCCCGGAATGGGGAGATACTAGTTTAGATAGAAGAGGTACTCTCCTGAGTGAAGTGGTGTCAAGGAACGATCTCACTGTGTTAAACCAAGGAGGAAGCCTTACCTTCAGACGTGGTAATGCAGGTTCTGTGATAGACATAACCATAACAAGTCCACGAATAGCCCAACGAATTCAATATTGGAAGGTATTGGAAGAGGAAACATTAAGCGATCACCAGTATATAGAATTCACAATAACTGATGACACATCAAGAAGCGAGGCCTTTGCCTCATCGCAACCCTTAAAACGCCCTTTGTGGAATACAAGTCGACTCGATGAGCAACGACTCGAGAAGTTCCTTTTGGAAACCAAAACTTTTTATGAGTTAGGCTGGGAAAGAAGACCTTGCTCCCTGGACGAAGCTGTGACCAGTGTTAGGCAGCAGATAGTTGCAGCTTGTAACTCTTCTATGCCAAGACGAAAGCTCCCAGGTCTTAAAGGGCGGTCGCTCTACTGGTGGAATGAAGAAATTTCTCGTCTACGCACCGATTGTCTAGCTGCTAGGAGGAGATACACCCGCTCGAGAGGAGATCCTTTGCTACTGGAAGCCTGGAAGGAAACCAAGAGGGCCTTCAAAAGAGAAATTCGTCTCAGTAGAAGGAACTGCTGGAAGGAATTGATTACTCAGGTGGAGAGAGATACATGGGGTCTAGCATACAGAATCGTCACTAAAAAATTGGGGATTCGTCAGCAGATCCCATGCTTACAAGATCAGGACTGGGTTAGCTTGATAATAAGGAATTTGTTCCCGTTCGTAGCGAGAAACCCAGGATTGGATGAAAACTGCCCACCAGCTAGTGAGGTAATTACCTTTTACCTTGGATGAACTCAGGGAAGCTGGAAAGAGGCTGAAGCCTAAAAAAGCTCCGGGACCCGACGGTATACCTAACGAGATCCTCAAGCGGATAATCGAAGTATACCCTGAATTGTTACTACGGGTTTTTAATTTATGCCTTATAGAAGGAAGATTCTTCGAAGATTGGAAAGTTCAAAAGCTGGTCCTGTTGAGGAAAGGAAACAAACCCCTTGACTCTGTAACATCCTATCGACCTATTTGCCTGTTAGATACGATCGGGAAACTCCTTGAGGAATTGATCCTACAACGAATACAAGCCCATATGTCACTTGAAAACGGCCTATCGGATAATCAGTTTGGTTTCCGCAAAGGTAGGTCTACTGTTGATGCTATTGGACTCGTAGTGGAGAAAGCACGGAAAGCAATGGCTGGAGAAAGTTCAGGCAAGCGAAACGGATTCTGTGCACTCGTCGCAATAGATATTCGAAATGCCTTCAACTCCGCAAGATGGCACATAATCATCGATTCCCTGGCACGCAAGAAGGTCCCTTCCTACATATTAAGAATGATAGTGAATTATATGAGTGACAGATGGATAACCTATGAGACGGAAACGTGGTCGATGTGCGAGCAAATGACTTGCGGCGCACCACAGGGATCGTTATGTATGATGATTTCCTACGAATGGAACTTCCAGAAGACACATCTATTGTTGGCTTCGCTGACGATGCAATTATTGTCTCCGCTGCCGCCAGTGTAGAAGTACTAGGAATAAAAGTAAATGATAGTCTGTCAAGAGCAAAGCGTTGGATGGAGTGCAGAGGCCTGCAAATGGCACTAGACAAGACTGAGGCTTTGCTCGTTACCGATAGGAGATCGTACCAAAATCCCGCTATCGAGATAGATGGCTACCGCCTAGAGTGGAAAAGGCAGATAACATACCTGGGTGTTGAGCTTGACAGGAGACTGTAGTTTGGCGCACACATCCAAAGGGCTACTCTAGGTGCAATAAAATGTGCCGCAAGCCTGTCAAGACTTATGCCGAACATTGGAGGGCCACGAGCATCTAAGCGAAAGCTGCTGGCAAGCGTTGTACACTCAAAGCTTCTCTATGCAGCACCAGTATGGTCCTCAGCACTTAACCATGCACTACGGGCGAAGCTCTTGACTGCACAGCGCTGCGCGGTACTTAGGATCGTATCTGCGTACAGGATAGTATCAACAAGTGCGGTCTTAGTCCTTGCGGGAGTTCCCCCTATAGATCTTTTAGCACAGGAAAGGGAATATGTCTACAATCGTAAAAAAGTGTTGGAAGCAACACGACCTATCCGGGAAGATGCACACTCCAAGGAGACGATTCGGAATGAGGCAAGATACTTACTGATGGAGAACTGGCAGAGGCGATGGCGCGAGGACTCTGTCGGCAGGTGGACGTACAAATTAATACCAAAAATTACCAAGTGGGTCGAGAGGAGCCACGGAGAGGTCGGTTTTTACTTGGCGCAAGCGTTATCGGGGTACCGCTGCTTTAACGCTTACCTGAAAAGATTTAGACTGCACGAAGACGAAGGGTGTAGATACTGCGATGCTTCTGTGGATGACGCAAACCATATGCTCTTCGTATGCGAAAAATGGGCACAGCAGAGACGAACTCTTGCGCAGACTGTTAACTCAGCGATAGCAGCAAATACCATGGTTCCACTATTGCTCAAATCAGATAAAAACTGGAATCTCATTGAGTCTTTCATTACTAACATAATGAAACAGAAAGAAACAGATGGAAGGGGAGAATAGGACACTGTCACAACTTCCCTAGATGACTAAAATGGAATAAGCAGAATCGATTGTAGCTGAAGCCACAATAAAGGCGGCACAAGGGATCCCATCTATCATGGATAAAGCCGCAAGGTAGTACCGTAGATGGAATACGGTCTAGAAAAAAAGAGGAGGTTTTAGTGAGTGCGAGCCTCAGACTGTAGCGATGCATTGTCGAGTTGCACAGCCGGCAATGCGCCGTTGCGTGCGGTAGGTACATTTCCTTCTCTATAAACAAAAAAAAAATAATAATTGTAATTATAATAATAATAATAAACATAATAATACCAATAATAATAATAATAATAATGATATTAATTATCATAATAATAATAATAATAATAATAATTGTAATTATAATAATAATAATAATTATAATAATAATAATAATAATATAATAATAATAAATATAATAATAATAATGTAATTATAATAATAATAATAATAATAATACTAATAATAATAATAATTATAATAATAATAAGCCACCCGCAGGGGGTATCTACTTTTAAAGCTGGATTCTTATCACTCGGACTTAAAAGTAGATACATGGGGAGTGTCGCCCCCACGGCCCCAGGTGGGGAGTTCGGGGTTTGGTGGTCTTGCCTTTTTTCTGCCAAACCCTGGGCTTTTTCCTTTCTTTTTCCCTCTTCCTCTCTGCAATTCTTCATTCCTAGCTTTCGTCTTTATCTCTCTCTCTTTCTCTGCCTCTCTCTGCTTTGTTTCCCATTCTTCGGGGAGAAAACCCCAAAATAAATAAAAATCCGGAACCCACGGTGTCAAACGTTACCGTGCTGAGGGGTGAATGTCCTTACGTCAGTGGGTCTTGAACGGTGTGCTCCGGATACCAGGTGCTCTCCGGTTCTATTTAGCCTTCCTACAGTATCCAGGCTCTGCTGTAGGTGACCGTTACTTCCTGTATGACTCGTGGAACTTAGATGAGTATTCCAAACCCAAATTTGATAGAGTTGTAGGACTCTCAAAACACGGAACATACGGGTTTATCCGAAACCCAACTTAGATCGTGTCAGGAAAAGGCGGTAACTCCCCGGTTCCTGACCATAGTTAAAAAAACTGGTGGCGATTACGCCACAGTGAGTCCGTTCGTGATCCAGAAAAGTCTATTTGGTTTAGTAGGAGAATTAAGAAAAGTCAGTAAAGTTCGTGAAGGTCTACTTGTAGAATGTGTGTCGGAGAAACAATCGAATGCATTACAAAGGGTTACAAGATATTTAGATGAAGATGTGACTATACAGGGCCATAAAACCCTGAATGTAACAAAGGGTGTTGTATATTGTACGGATCTACTGAATTGTCCACTTGAAGAGATCCGAGAAGAACTCGCTGGTCAAGGAATAATTGATGTTAGGCGGATTACAACAAGAATAAATGGCGAGGTAAAAGATACACCAAACCATATTCTCACTTTCAACAGCACCAAACTGCCAGAGAAAATTAAAGTTGCCTTTTATTCCCTTCCAGTGCGGATGTATGTGCCTGCCCCCTTACGTTGTTTCAGATGCCAAAAATTTGGCCACGCTTCTTCTAAATGTCAGCAACAAGCCATTTGTGTGTGCGGAAGTCCACTCCATGAAGGATATCCATGCCAACACCCAATTTCCTGTATAAATTGTAATGGAAATCATTCAGCGCTTCAGCGCCATCCAAGAGCTGCCCTATTTATAAACAAGAGGCAGCTATCCAAGAAATAAGGGCAAAGGAACGATTGGGATATTTAGAAGCAAAGAAAAAGGTAGTTGTCAACACTCCACAGCCTAGGGTATCATATGCCCAGTCTGTTTCTACTTTTCCCCAGATAGATTCAAAATTTCTTGTACAAGAACTACTACCACCTCTTATCACTGCCTTGAAAAGCGCCCTTAACCCTGAAGAA